CTTTAAATTTAACTTGGGAAGCCGTGAATTAGATCGACAAAAGCAAGCAGAGGTATTCTGCTTTACTCTGTGAAAGAAATGTATCCCCACACACTGTCAATTTCACTTGTGAGTGGAAACTAAGAAATTACCTGGAATGACATCATGTTTCCACTTTGAAACTTGAATCACACAAGTGAGATGGGGCCAGTGAAACTCTGTGCATAGTTTAGTGTGTGTGTTTGTTTGAAAGAAACAGAAAGAAAAGAGTGTCGATATAGTACATGGCCCATTAGTTGTAAACAACTGTATTGCCTCTTGAGAGTTCCTATCTTGTTAATGTGAGAGGAGGAGAGTTCTTCATCATGATTTAATGAACTGCATGTTCTGTTTTTCAACTTAACATTGTTCCCATCTGAATGAGTTATTAAGTCAGTATGTCTGGAGGTCAGGGCGTAATGCTGGAAAAACCTTTCCTTTTAGTGGGCTTAAGTGATCCTTCTGAGTCATTTTGTCTTGCCTGCCTAAAGTGCCAAAAACCAGAGGAACTAAAAACTGCAGATCATTAAATGGCCACTGGGAGCAGACTCCAAAACACCAGGTGGCCCTCATTTCTCTGATCACGCTACGAAATACATGGTAAATGATACATTGTTAAGCTTGTGATTATAGGAATAAATAATTCCCTCTTTTAGCTGCTTGCATGATCGCATACAGAGGACGGACTTTGGATGCCACTGTCCTCGGCTAACAGAAAAATGCAGTCAATATCCTTGACTTCAGCAAGGATATTGACTTGATTAAATGTTTTCAACATTTTAACTCAATGCTACCAATTTAAAATGGTTTAAGATATAGTTTTACATTTAAATCCACCTGTGTCAAAAGAGGAACTGACCACCGTGTGAATATAAACTTTAGAAGTGAAATAGTTAACATGGCTGTTAAGTTCACTATGTGATCATCTTTCCTGAGCTACGAGTGAGAGTTTGATGCTCATTGCCTCAGTTTGTGGAGTTACCGCTCATTTCTGCTGACGTACTGACTGTTCCCCAGTTAAAACGCTCATATACAAACAGCCGAGGTAAATAAAAGATGCAGGAAAATAGGTTTCTGAAAAAACAGTGTTTTGGGTCTGCAAATGCATCTTTTGACAGAGTTTGCAAAAGTGTTATTATGATGTTCTGTTGAAAGTCTAAAAACTGACATTTCTTCATGTTTTTATTATGATTTGCTCTGTAGAAAAATATTCTTTAATAATGCAAAACTTCATGGGTAGGTGCTGCACTGGCTTTTATATCAGTAATCATCACAACTTAGTTTTTTAAAAGTACATTTTGAATTTAATTTGAGGAGAGAAGACTGCTCAAAGCGGCTGAAAATATTATAGCTATTGATTAACATTTATGTAAGTCGATGGAATCGCATAATGTCAGGGATTTTTGCCCAATTAAATTACAAGAAATTTAAATGGAATATCTTTGAAAGTGTCAAAACCACATTGTGGTCTTTGCATTGTGTCAAAACCACAATGCAAAACATGGTCTTCATTTTCATAGATGACATTTGTATTAAAGTTAGTTTGGCAAAATGAGAGTAGCGCTCTCTTGTAGCTCTGTTATCTCTGGCCTCTGTCTGTAACAATTGCTACATGTGCTGGAAGCATTTAAAGTAAGCTGGACAACACGAATCAACAACAAATCAGGCGGAGGCAGCAGTTTCAGGCTGTTGCTGTTTGGAGATACTCCTTGGAGGTCCCATTGCAACATATCTCTCGCATTGTGACTTGTGTTACTTTGAAAAATTGAGTGTAGGAGTTTGTTTTTCTCTCCTCAGTGTTGGTTACGGGTCATTGGAGCCCTGACAATAGAGAGGTGGCCGGGTCAAAGAAATCAACCCAAATAAAGGCATAAACAAGTGCAAGCCTGACAGTAATTGAGTCCAGGAAATCTTCAGCAAGCCTTTTGGGATGTTTTGAGTTAACTCGCTCAGTTTGAATGAGGTACATAAAAGGACTAAGAGTTTAATCTACACTGAATGACACTGGAGAGACCCATTTATCATGGCTGCTTAAACTTGCCACGCCATTTAAGCGGCCTTGTAGCATAATCCATCAATGTGAAATGCTGTAGAATAAATATAACAATGAGTCTTATGAGATACTGTATATTCTCATTCTTACTTCTTTAGTGAACATAGTACATACTGCTTTCTGGAAACTCTCTGCGCTTTATGATAACTGTCTCCTTCAACAACCTCTGCTTCCTCTGAAGCAACCCAGCTGCCGTTACTTTCTCTCCTTTCCACCTCCTTTCACCTTGCCAAATGCTCCTGTTTATGCTCTCCCTTATTAGCTTCTTTCTAATACTATATCTCTGTCCTGTATGTTATTTGCTCACCGTTAGCTGAAACTGAGCAGTACTCCAAAAAAGGGAAAGCTGATAATCTAAAGCATTTCACACACAGAAACCTGAGGTAGGACATTATAGATAAAAAAAATAATTGCCCATTTGTGGTGAGAGGTTTGTTCCTTTATAGGTTTTAAATGCTTACCTTTGTGTTTGTAAATTCAACCAATAGCAACTAATAATCAACAAACCTCTGACTTTCTATCAGAGACTTGTGTTGCTTTAGTTGCTATGTATCTGCATCCATTCCCCTGTCTCCGTAGCTCCTGGGGGACTCCCTCATTACGTTGTCCCATTTATTTTCTTCATCTCCGTCCCTAAGGTGTCATTCTGTATGTATTGCTGATGGGCACAGCCTACTGCAATGGAAATCTTTCTGTTTTTGATTAGTGTCTTTTCCTTTTCTCTTTTTTTATTTTGTTCAAATGACAGAGCACACGAATGTTAGCCAAAGATTACGAGGCAGTAGTGTAATGGAGATAGCCTCATCCGTTGGGATACACTGTGATATTATGTTTCTCTCACTAAATTCAGTTTCAGTAACATGATCCAAGATATTACAGCTTAAGAGCATGTGCTTGTGTGTTTGTGAGCATCTTTCTGTGCTCATGTATTCTGGTTTTCTGTATATCATTATGGTCCTCCTCATTTCCCTTGCAAATAAGCAAAACAGAAGAATTCAGTTACTGATTGCTGAGTGTTTCTGTTAGACTGTGGTTCATCAAACCAGCTTCCTCATGCTGACTTGTCCTGTTTGATCTGTTGATTTGAAAAATTCCCAAAAAATTGGCATTTGTTCACACTTTCCCATGTTCTTTTGTAGTACTTAGTATTAGTATCATTAAGTAGACTGATTTTTTTTTCCCCTTTTAGCCTGTGTTAATATCGCTGATGCTGGCAAATGTTTATCTCAAAAAGTAAACCTTAATTAGAGTCGAGCCCTTACGATTAACAGAACTGACCTTGAATCAGCCATTCCCCCAGAATATTGTGACCATCATAAACTCATCTTACTTACTCTACTTACAGCAGATCTAAGGTCTTTGAGGCAAATGTTGCGCCTATAAGTAGTAAAGTAAAAAAACCTGTTAGCCATACACCAATAGGACCACGAGAATTAAATTCAAAAAGGTCTCATTGAGATACAACATCTCTTCTCAGTGATGCTCATGGTGGCGGCATACATCTAATCTAAAATGGCTTCAAATAAAAAAATAAATATGTCATCAGAAAACTTTTGAAAAAGCAAAAGTCAGAAACAGTAACTGCAAAAGTTACTTCAAAAGAAAAACACAAATGTCAGATTTATATTTCTGGTAAAATCCACATAGTCCACACCAATAACTGTGCTACTGGTGACACCAGAGATTATCCTGGTCTTCTGATGAAACTGTTCTCTTCTGGAAAACAAAACACTGTTGGTCTTTAGCTTCCTACCTAACCAGTTTAATGTTGAAACCAGTTGGTATGTGTTCATCAATTTCTATAGCTTTCTCTTAAACTACAGTACTCACTGGAGAAAAATAAGTCGAAGTATGATACTGCCATGACCATGCCTTATTCTAGGTCATTCTTTTGTTAGTGGGTCACACAATTGTAGACAAAAGTTTAGCCTAATCAAACCACAACACATCCTCCCACACTCATTTCGGAGACTTTAATCAGACCAATATTTTTTCTTAGAATTAAAGGCTTCTGGCCTTTTTTCTTAGTCCAGACAAAGTGGGGATTACAAAAAATTGTTTTCACATAATATACAACACAATAAGTAGCAACTGAAATCTCCATCATGTCCTTTATTGTTCCTGTAAACCTATTACCATCCACATTGACCTTTCTTTTTATCATTATGGAGAAACATCCAATTTTGTTTAATGTCACTGTTGTTTTTTTCTCTAACTATTGTTGACTGTCTCTTCTGTGCCACAGTCCAGACTGTGCATTTGTACTTTTCTTCAGACTGACATTTTGGCCAATGAGATCATTCTTATGTGCAAATTCTGGCTGATGCTCAACAACACAAATGAACAAATGTCTGGAAAGTGCAACTTGAGCAGCTAAATGTTATTATGGTTGATCAGATGCAGTTAATCTGTATCCAAGAAGACTTAATGCTGAAATTGAACCAAAAGGGATTCAAAAAAGTAATTAAATGTGTGTTCTCTAGCACAAGCTTGTAATTTCAGCTTTTTTATATTCCACTATAGAGATCAAAAGATGCCTCAAAGATACATTTTGCGGTTTTTGGAACATTGATAAGTGAAAGTCTAAACTTCTGATTTCTGAAATTTGCGACTTAGGAAAAACATTTCAGATTGTTTTACGGTTTATACACAATAAAGAGGAGTTTGGGCCTGATTAACAGTCTTGTCTATATTTTTCTTACTAAAAGAAACCATGCAGTGATAATGTTCAGTGAAACGTGATTAAATGTCTTTGTTAAGGTAGCGAGACATTGGTTACCATGCCTCACAGTCCTGTTTTGTTCTGTCTGTCATTCCTCACACATTTCCTCCTTTTGTATAACAATGTTTGACTATAAATCTGAACGTTCTCTGTCAGCCCTCACGCTCACATCTGCTCTTGCTTCCACCCCTCTTGTCCTACATCTAGACAGATGTAGAGTCTCTGGACCCTCGTGGACGGACTCCTCTCCACCTGGCTGTCACTTTGGGGCACCTGGATTGTGCCAGGGTCCTGCTGCAGCACGGCGCTGACGTTAGCAAGGAGAACCGTAATGGCTGGACCGGTGAGTGTGTGTGTGTTTTGAAAATTTTATTTGTTTGCCTTAATGCATATTGTACATTATGCATAAGCTTTTGTACGCAGAGATTGGCTCATGGGAGACTGGAATCTGTTTTAAGGTAAATGTGCTGTGAGGTGCATTTTGTTCAACAAAATATCAATGTTGATGTAATTATAATTCTGCTGTACAAAGAAAAATGACATTGACAACAATGAAAGTGTCTTTTTCATTGCAGCTGACAAAATTTGTCATAAATTTCTTGTTGCTTTTATTTTTTTTAAATGTTAAAGGCTTATTCTTCCTATATTTATGATATGTATGTATCATAATCGTACCTAATTAAATGTGATTGAATTGAATGTATGTACGATTATTACCTTCACTCGTTTTGCCGCTCTATTCACTTTTTTTCAGTCACACTTGCTCTTTAGGCAGACTCTGTCAGGCAGCTCTTCTCTGCTGGCTCTGCAGAAACATGGTATGGACATCTGGCAATAGCAGGATGTGGGCGTGTGAAACCATTAATATTTTAACCTTGAAATTATCACTGCTTCATCACATGCCTGTTCAAGATTTCTACAGCTTTAAATGAATCACTTGTTAAAGCCTGAAATGAATGGAGGTAAATGGATGAGGATGACCTGATTTACTCAAGAAACAGTTACTGATCATTTATAGTTGAAGCTACTTTACATTTACATCTGAGGGCTACAAAATAGGAAAAGAAACAAGCTGACGTAAAGGTTGGAGCGTTTGTAAAGATGCATTTTGAAGTTCCTTACAGATATTCCGTTTTAAGCTATTCTTCAAATGATACTTGTGGATTTATTCCTCTCACTGCCTTTGGGGGAGTTTTATCAATGTTTAGAATTGAGGTGAGTGTGTGGAACACATTAAAACCTTTACACCTGAAACAGGTTCAGGATCAACATGCTTCTTTATTAGCTATCACTGCTTTCATCTCATCTCCGTCCACTTTTCCCCAGGAATCTTCTTGTTTTATTCCGTAACCCTATAAAAACAGATTTCAGTATGCCGAGGTGTGACATAGACTAAAACAAGATTATTTAAATGAGCTTTTTTTTTTTTTTTATCTTATTGATGGTTTTAATTGTCTAAATAATATTGTACTCTTCCATGTCTCTCAATAAAGTTATACAAAATCTGCAAATATTACGAAATTGTTCATGGTTTAATTCAATAATACTATGAAAGATAGTACACATTGTAGGAGATGTCATGATCGAAGTTTCTTGAATAGTCATTGCATGAGCTTGATCCAATTTTTCTTTTTAAACTGAAAAAAAAATTAACTGAATAAAAAATATCTTTAATCTGAAAATAATTTTGATATATTCTTTTTCAGCTTCACTTTTTTCAGTTTGAAAATTTTGGAACAAACTTTATAAGCTTTAGTTCCATACTGTTCCGCTTCCTTTTAACCAAAACAAAGGAAGGCAAGAGCATCTCATGGAGATGGAGATGAACGTGGAGCAGGAGAAGAGGATACTTAGCTTGTTCTTCTACTAAAGCTAATGAAGAATGAATTAGCGCTCCTGACACTTTATCTTTCTAATCCTCCTTCTACTTGAAGCCTGTGAAATTCTTCCTCCCTGACCACACATCTTATATAACCCTGAACCTCCCTAGTATTTCCTGCACTGTGATAAATTTTGTTTCTCATCTTGACTTTGAGCTGTTTTTGAGATGTTTTTCTACACTCTGCAATAATTCACTCCGCCATCCTGAAGGTGTTTTTTCTTGTTCAGCAGTTCCTTCACCCTGGACTCCCTGGTGAATCCAGGGTTTATTATTCAGGAAGCACCTTCTGCCAATAGTCTGATACCCCCTAGTTTAATGACAGTGAACTGACCCAGAAATTACCTTTAAATTACCGTTTTTTTAGGGGTGGGCGAGTCTTTACATTTCAAAACAGCATGAAACTTCAGCCCTGTTCTCTACTCCGGTTTTATAAAAGGTTTTATGCTATTGTCTCTATCTCCATTAGAGTTATGGATGCAGTTCAGTGAAGCAAAGCCTTTGCTGTTCCTTAAGATTAGTAGCAGCAGCAATTAGCAAACACCTGGTGGAACTGTGCATCTGTTGAGCTCATCATGCAAACTACTTCTTAGTGTAAATGATCCTAAAAAAATATTAAAGGCTTAATGGAGAAACATGTGATGAGGTGCTGAAGGAAAAGTGCCGGACAGAGCAGAAGCTTCTTAAAGAGAAAAAGGCCAGATTTTAAGTTATGTTTGACGTACACAGCACTGTTATGACAGATGACATTAACATAGTTACTTGATTGTGCTAAAAAAAAAAAAAGACACTATGTGCCTGGAAAATACATAAAACTGCCTCTTTAACTTGTGATTTTAGAGTACAGAAATCCCTCTAGAATTGGATACCATCTTTTTGATGGTATTTATAACTCCAATATACCTAAGGATTAGATCCTTAGGTGTCTTCATCTATCAACGAATCCTTTGGTTCATTGACAGATTATGAGACGCAAACCCCCTGTGAACTTCTGTGTGTGTGTGTGGGCTGAGTTTAAATCAATTATCTGAAAAAGAAGAGAAAGGAGGAGTGTTCTTTAGACTTTGATCAACTATTTGTGACGTGTCATTCTGATGATAGATGGGTACATGGCAGTAATTGGGCCAACCAGCTTCTCCTTTGGCCTACTTCACGTTCAGCAGTTCCCGCTGCACCCTTAAATTGCTCGCTCACATAAATTTTGAATAAGATCTGAGTGTTTCACTGTCTGTTCCACCCCGCCCACCTCCACTCTCTAGTTCTTCAGGAGGCGGTGAGCACGAGGGACCCGGAGCTGGTGCGTCTCGTGCTGCGTTACCGTGACTACCAGAGGACTGCCAAGAGGCTGGCGGGCATCCCCGTCCTGCTGGAGAGACTACGCCAAGTGGGATTTCACACGCACGCACACACATTAGCATAGAATCTCTAAGGAGCACGGACACACAGGCACACACATGCGTATAGAAATAAATGTGCATGCTGCTTAGAAGATTATCCATCTACCTTTGCATAAAAAGTCAGGTTTTACCCAGGTGTCGTTTGAAATGCAGATATGTCTTCATTTCTGGAAAAAAATATTCTTTTCAATGGTATTTATAACTTTGTTTACTATTCAGCGAGGGGAACACAAAGGATTATGTCTCCATGTTACATGGCAGTGTGTCCCAAGGTGATCTGACTCATCTCAGACCCGGCAGGAATAAGCACCAGCATGATTAAAGGAGCAGGAGCATTTCTTACAAAGCTCAGGTGACCTGTGCCGGAAGATGATAGGTTGATGGTAGTACTGGTGCACCAGCAGATCATCCTGTTAGTGCCGCGCAAAGCAGTGGCAGCGATGCAGAGAACTGCCTTCACACAGTCTGTCTCTGTATCTAATCCAGCTGGCTCACACAATCACACACGCACACGCATAAAGATGCTCTCACTAAAGCATCCTCACACAGCAGACAAAACACCCTGACACTTTTAAAACGACTCTTCAGTACTCACACATCCCAGCACTCTTTACCTGCTGCTGCCCTCACCCACATCATCGGCCTCTCCATCCATCAGTTCTATTATTAACACCTTCCACAAACACGCTGGGCTTCTCTGCCATTCTTCCTCACCATCCTTGGCTTACACACTGAAGCAGCCCGACTGCATAGTTTTTACTCTTCATTGCTATTCTCCTCGTTTTGTTCTTCATCCATAATGTCCGTCTCTCCTCCTCTGCTCCCTGTGCAGGCGCAGGATTTCTATGTGGAGATGAAATGGGAGTTTACAAGCTGGGGTGAGTTTTAGCTTTTTTTTGCATCTGTGAATGTTTCTAATCAATTTCTCATATATTATTCCCATGACATGTTTATGTCCATTTCTTCCTGTTGAGATGAGTAACACTGGCCCATAGACTAATTGCATGCTTTTGTATGCACGCGCTATCATAGCTGAACAAGTAAAGAGGATTTAATGGACGACTGAGGCCAATAATTATCGTAATGGCAACGCTTGCAAGAACAACCAAGAATTGTTGTCTGAAATATTGGCCATAGTCATGACAAATACTACAGTTTGGTTAAAATGTTGTATTTGTCCACAGTGCCCCTGGTCTCTCGTATATGCCCCAGTGACACCTACAGAGTGTGGAAGAGTGGACAGTGTCTCCGTGTGGACACCACCCTGATGGGGTTTGAGCAGATGACCTGGCAGAGAGGCAACCGCAGCTTCATTTTCAGGGGCCAAGGTCAGCAAATCTTCTAACCCTTCAACCAAAAGGTTGCTAGTTTGAATATTGGTTTGAGGACCTCCCTCGCCAAGAGTTCATCCTTGTCTGGATTTGCAGCACTTTGCAAAGCAGTGGTAGAATTCGTTCTTCAAGGTGATCATTTTCCAGTTGCCAGATAGAGCGCCTCGCTTAACAACAAGGCACATGACACATTAGAATGTCTCTGCCCGCCACAAGCAGTGAAGTTTCTCTGTTTACCAGTCAATTTATTATATTGTGTGACGCCAGCAACTCCACCCTAACTCTACCGTACCGTTGTCCTATGGACCTACAATGGGAGGGGACCTTGTTGAAAGGGATAACACCACTCATTTCTACTGAGCTTTGTTGAACGGCTCAGTACAAATGAGGCACTGTTTTCATAAGAAAACATTTAATGTTTTATGTTATTGTGTGATGCCCAGCTCCTTGGTCCTGTGTGTTGTTTTAATGAGTGTTAGAAATAAAGCTGGGTTGAATTGGAAACATGCAAGACCCTTTTTTATCCTTTAGATAAAAAAGGATAGAATGAACATTCAATGAATCTGTATGATTCATTGTATGAATCATACAGATTCATACAATGGAATCTGTTTGATTTACAGATCTCATTTCCACAAAAAATTCTACATAGTGTAAATTTCTAAGTAGGAAAATTTTTTTTAAAGATTTACAATAAATCTATTTTGTCTTTTTTAAAACTGAAATTTCATTTCTGTTGCCCCTCAGTACTTTTAACTTGCTGATTCTGTTCCACATGACTTTTGAAAAACAACTGGATTTGTGTCAGCAATGTTAACATTTAGTGTTGATAACTCTTGGAATAAAGAGTTATTCCAAACTGTTGAAGTTGACAGAAATTTCTCACACCTAAATACTGTAAGTCTACGTTTTTGTCTTGATGTTCTGTTTCTTTGTTGCACAAGCTGCAAAAACAGATGCTTGTGTTTTTCTATCCTTTCTTTTTGATTTTGTAACAATGTCTGTAATCAGCTGACATCAGACTTAATCCCTTTGCCATCTTTGTGTCTTTCAGCAGAAGTGCTCAGCTCTCTTCTGTGTTTCTGTCTGAAATTCATCCCATTTTTCTCTTCCCATTTGTCAGACTCCAGTGCAGAGGTGATGGAGGTGGACCACGACAGACAGCTGGTGTTCTGCGAGACCTTGTGCGTCTCATCTCTTACGGCGCTCTCTCCTGGCAGAGGGAAAGCCGGCGCCTGCAAGGGCACCTGTGCTGCACTGGGTCTACTGGGTGCGACGCAGCCCAGCGATGAGCAGGTCGCAGCCAGGCTGTCTGCGCCGGTGGTGACCACTCAGCTGGACACCCGAAACATCGCCTTTGAGAGGTCAGAACCAGAGCAAGTATGCACTCAGTAGCTTTGTGACTGCAAAGTAAACATCGTCAAAGCTAACCTCAACCGTACTGACAAATTACTCATTCATAAAACAATGGCCTTGGTAAAATGCATTGCCTTTGTTGTTACAATAAAATGTTTCTGTCAGTGCTTCTGGTTTACTTTCTCCTGCACTGCGAGGCACTGCCAGGAAGTGGAGACAACCGCACACATCGAGCTAAAAAAATAATTCATCATAAATAATTAGTTTAGAAAGGGACAGATACACGTTTCTGCTAAAACTGAAAGGAAGTGCACGATTTAGAGTGTTTGCTGCCAGCCTGTCTTCCAGTTGCAGCTGTGATGGACCGGCTGAAGTTTGCAGAAGTTAATGTATTCAAGCTTGTTGGTATAATATGTATACAATACTGCTAATACAAAGTGGCGTATGATTGTGAAGTGGATGCAAATAGTATATTGTATAAAAAACTTTATGAGTTAAAGAAATGTGATAAATGTGGTGTATAATTCACCTCCTCTGAGTCAGTTGTTGTTTCAGTTTCAGCCAAAAGGCTCTTCAGGCATTTCTCCACCAGATTTCCTCATCGAAAGAGTTTAAATTTTACAGACTGTAGTTTGACATCAGCCAAGATGTCAAAGTACAGGTTGAGGTCTGGACTTTGACACATGAATATGCATTAATCTAAACGACTTGTGTTATTGCTCTGTTTACACATCTGTTGAGGAATGTCATCCTGCTTGTACTTGGCGGTCTCTAACAAATATAAAGTAATGTCTTACATCATTACTTTATATTCAGCTCCATTCATCTTCCCTGTCGCTGCTCCAGGAAAACCTTCCCACAGCATGATACTACCCACCCCCATATTTCACCGTGGTTGTTTCTGGGGCAATGTGTACTGAGATATTCTCATCACACAAAACACCTTGTATGCAGGCCAAAAAGTCACATCACGTCATTTGACATGTTATCTGTGTCCACTGTGTGGGTTGTGGCAAAATTCCTAATGGGAATTCTTGTGGCTTGACGTGAACATGGCTCACTTCTTTTCATTAGAAAAAAATTCAAGTTGTTTATAAGGAACTATGGTGTTTTTGACTTAAGAGCCATGACAGGGACATTAAAACATTTGGACATAGACAAATAGAAGGGAGAAATAAAGAGGATTTTGAAAAAAAAAAAGTAACATTGTTGAAAAAATGAGGTAAAGAACAATGGGAGCAAATGAGTGGGCTGAGAAATGGAGAGAAAGATGAATAGGATACAAAAAGTGATAGAATTGCAATACGTAGACAGAATTTTTTTTTCTTTTGGGGGAAAGGTGGAAAAAAGACACATTTGAGTGAATTATGGAAAGAGAGGAAGAATAAATGTTCAGAAATAAACAGTAAGTGAGTAGAAGGACAGAGAGTACAGCTCAGTGAAGTGAGCAGGCAGAGGGAATCGTCTCCCTGTCAGACTTCCACCTTAGCGTCACCTCTCTGCATTTTCCACAGTCAGCACTCCTGTCTACATGCCAATAATCTGTTTATGATGCTTCAGAGCGAACCACTTTGTCAAAGCAGCCCAGACAAGGCATCTACCTATGGAGTTTATTTATCTTCAGTCAGTCAAGCACAAAAACTACAGCGCTGCAGTTTTCTGGTTTCAGGTTTTAAGGAAATTTACGGAAGTTCAAAGAGGTCATGTCACTCCTTCAACTTTAGCTTCTATCTTTCTAAAATAAAAAGGAATTTGGAGATATGCATGGCATTTTTGTTTCTCTTCCGACATAGAAGAATGAGTAACTGAACGAGGACAAAACAGAGAACCCAATAGGAATAAGTTTAAAAGTATTCAAAACAACAAAGGAACCTTGAGGAGAATGAACATTTTGCTCTCTTTATTTGTGTCTTTATCTGTAAAGCAGGGAGGATCCACTGAGGATTTTTCTGTCCCTGTTACTTTATTCCAGTTAATTAGGCATTTGTCGTAACCGAGTCCCAGTGTGATAATTCATTAAAATGAATATTATATCTGTGTTTGAAAACCCAGCAGCTTTAAAGGGCACAACAAAAACACAACACATTTTGTCTCTTTTTTTTTTTTTTTTTTAGACAAGTTGCATGAAGGAGAGTCAATTTGCATCCCATGACGGCTGACACTGTCTGTTTTACCACATCTCCAGTTTGAACCTCTTTTGTTGGAGTTTTATAAAAATGAAACCTGAACTGCTACCTAACCTAGAAATGACATAATGCAGGCTAAGATGACACCTTCAAACCATCATAATAAAAAATATAAAACTCAGAAAAGTAAATTACATCTATGTTTTATAGCTAATGCATAGATTGTCCAGGTTACCAGTGTCTTGTTTTTAGATTTGGCGCAACATGTTCGATTATAAAATGCTCATTTTTGGCCTCCTTAACATGTCAGTATGAATTCACGAACTGCCAAAGCGACTCCAGGTTTGTGGTCGTATCATAAGCTGTGAATCTTTACAAACGCAGGACTAAATATATTCTTTTGAAAATACTACGGCTAGTCCTGTGGGGGAATTGAATACTAAGTGGGAAAGTAGTGCGCTACTGCTAATGGAAAAGCTTTGAATAGGTTAGGACTACAGCAGTTGGCTAACTCATACATTAAAATTTCTATTCCTATTACTGATATTAGCTGCTATTTTTATTATCTAAATATTATTGTATTTATGCTATTACTGCAGACGTTAGGAATAATGATGAAGGGAATAACCATCCTTGAAACCTCTGCTTGGGTCCACAGGGACTAAGCAGATGAAGATGAGAAATGCCTCACTAGCTTCTCAACAGGTTTCCTAATTGCACAGTGAGCTGCTGGTCTTCACTGATGGCAAACAGGAACAATGGAGGCAATATTTTCAATGGGGTGGAGGCTGCAGTACAAGGAGCTTAAAGAAGCAGCTGACTGAAGCTGCTCTGCCTTAAATGTTATTAAATTTGAGAATAAGCCTTCTCACTGTTGCATAATTAATTTCTGTATAAATTATACAGGTGTGTTTTCACCATTTCTTCATGGAGCTATGAGCTTAGCTATGAGCTTAACTTTAACTTATTTGGATTCTGTTGCAGAAACAAGACTGGCATCCTGGGCTGGAGGAGCGAGAAGACGGAGACAGTGAATGGATTTGAGGCCAAGGTATGAGTGACAGCTGCGTAGACAGCTCACCTTCCTCTCACCGCTTCAGACGTGATGCTCAATCTCATGTTATCAAAGTCCTCATTCAAGAGTTTCAAACCCACAGTGAAGACTTCCAAAAGTTACTTGACCATCTCGGTATTTAAGAGTTAGACAAATTTCTCACCCTCAAATGAAGGTGAAGAATCCACATGAAATTTTATGAGCACATAAAACTCCAGATGGCCTCGAAAAAACAAAGGCAATTACCTTGAGCCCTTTTGTTTTTTGTTATTTTTTTGACCTCCCTGGAGGGACTGACAGTCATGTCAGATGCCCTGGACCATCTGCCGATGGTGCTTTAAAAACACTATGAAGTCCTGATGGTTGAAAATTGCTTCTTTTTCAGCATCATTGATTTAGAGTCCCAAATGGAAACAGGCAGCTTCTGCTGTTTCCATTTTTATCTTTCGCTTTGAACAATGGTCCTATGCAGGGTCAGAGTCAGGATCTTCTCATCTTTTCATCTATGGTGCATCCACACCAGCCCTGTTTGGTCTGGTTTAATCAAGTTGTAGTTTTTGTCCTGAAAGTCAGTTTTTTTGGGGAGGCATGAACTCATAACCAAACTCTGGTGCAGACAAGAATCGCAAACTCTGTGCCGGCTACAAACCTAGTTCTCAGTTTGGTTAATGAGAACTCTGGCACAGTTCAAATGGATATGTGAATGCCAAGTGGACTGGAGACCAATCCAAAAGCAGGAAGTGAACTATAATGCAGTGCATTCTGGGTCAGTAAATCCAAAGCAAACCCACGAGTCTAATGCTCGAGGGATCTTTTCCTGACAACTAAAGAGAAATGATACAAGCATTAAAATCTGATGTCTCTCCATGTTCGTTTACATTTTGTGAGGAACAATGTTTCGCTCGTTTTCTTCAGAGGTCTTTATATTGCTTCCTTCAGTGGTTCTTGGTGCAGCGCCACCACAGGCAAGTTTTTTTTTTTTTTTTAAGAATTTGGTTTGGTATGTAGTTTGAACGCCTATTGCACCAGCTGAAAATGTAACAAACGTTGCAATTTTCTTCCTAATTGAACTACCAGGTGTGAATATATCCTTAATTTTTCAGCAGTTAATAATGATAGAATCATGTTTGGCTACTCAAAATACACAATTAGCCACACCATTATTAGGGTAAATATTTTCTAATGCTGCCTATCTCCCCTCAGGTCTATGCAGCATCCAATGTTGAGCTGATTACCAGGACCAGAACTGACCATCTGACGGATCAGAACAAGAACAAGACGAAAGGTAACTGACTCATTGTGAGGATTACAGCACATAAAACCCAGCAGCTGACTGCCTTCAACATTAAGGCTTCAGCAGTGTAACCCCCAGCCTTAGCCACAGTGGCATCCCTGATGAAAGACCTGCCGATAAGCTGCTGGGCTCAATAAGATCACCCAGAGACACGGCCTAAGAGGTCGCAACGTTCTCTCTGAGGCTGCGTTTCATTCATTTTCTGGTTCAGATCATTAATCAAACAAGATTAGCCAGCTTCCCTCCCAGGAGGGAGGCTGTCAGCGGAGCTCAGCCGCCCCAAGCTCCTCTGAAAGAAGAGGATGTGAAGGTTGATCCTGGTCTCCCAGGTCACATCCTCACCTGCATTCTGCTGCTATACAGGAGGAGGAAAGTGTCATCAAAACCAGTTCAATGACTTCACGGTGTCTCTAAAGTTTCGCAAAATGTAAAGTCTGTATTCTGGAATGTCCAAAAGTTTGTCTGACCTCTGCTTTGCTTCTGACAAAGTCGCCTCCTCCGGCTTTCAAAGCAGGATGGCAAAAATACAACATCCTGTCTGTGACTAAGCGTTTACTTTTGCAGTAAAGTGTTGCAGATTTTCTCAAACATAAAGTTAGAATTTCTATTTAAGTGGGCAAATGTTAGATACAGTATATATGACTGGGAATGCTTTACATTTTAATTAAAAATCTCTGGCCTAAACTGTATGTAATTTGTGAAAGTGCTTGACTTTTCAGCACCAACTTTGTCCACAAAAGACAATTATGCCATTTAAAAAAAGAAAAAAACTTAGGAACTATTAATAATGAAAACCTGCAACAATTTTCATAAACAGTAGATGTCCTGCCAAGGATACAGATGAAATACTGTCCTTCCAATTCTTGTGGTTGTCTAAATAAAACCATTTACTAATCTATTACATGCTGTCTTAGATTACTAGAGTAGTAAGAGTTTGGTCCAACCAGTCTCTCTACACCGAAGTTCTTCAAGTGGCAACCCAAACTCATCTAGATTTGGATTTTTAAATCACGTGTGTTTTGCAATTTTTACAACAATAAATTTTAAAGTGCTCCACTTTCATAACATTCACATTTACGTGGTGCAGCAGGAGCTTGCAGGGTTTCTGTCTCTACTGAAAGAAGAGACTCAAAATAGTCTTCTGTGGTTTAGTGAAGAAACTCTCTCTTTTTTCCCCTCTTTCCCCCCTTGCTTAAGTGAATTTTCTCCACTAATTCACTTTGTTTTGCTCAGACTGCATATATCACACAGGGAACTTGCACTTGTGAAACATGTTTCATATGGTAAGGATGGGAATATTCTCTATAAAAGATGCTTTCTGTCTGTTTTATAAGAGGACATGTGGGTGTCAAGCGAAGGCTCCAAGTGTTACACAAAGTTGCAAAACTGGCTGCTTATTTTCTCAACGCTGTTTGAAAATGGAGGCTGAATAAATTTTCCCATGGATCGGCTGTTTCTATCTTTGAACTCAGTATAAAAGCACGGTCTACCTTTTGATCATAAGGATCATTTCGGTTAACGGTATTTTCTTTTATACCGCATATACAACAGGACAGAATCAGCTTGAGAGGATGACTCCTGAACGGAGCAGATATAAAGGTTTCCTCCTCTTTCTGCTCATAATCGGACGTGTTGAGCTCAGATCTCCCGAATCGATGACAGCACTTCAGATTTATTCTACTCTCTCTGTGCTGCTTTAAACCCTCCTCATGCTGGATATTAGATGCTGAATGTAGCTTCTTGTGAGCCATCCAGTATAGAGGAAAATAACTTTCTGAGCAGCTGCAGTGGAAATAATGAGCCCCAGGCGTCTTCTCATTGTTACAAAAGAAGGTTTTTATTTTTTTATTAATTTTTTTGGCTTTTGAATTTGTTTGAATTGTTGTTTGTCCCTTTGCAGGAGGCAAGACTCCGCTGCAGAACTTCCTCGGGATTGCAGAACAACACATGAGCTCTAACAATGCGGTGAGTGCATGCCGTCCAGCGTTTTCTCTGTTCTTGCGTCTCTCATGTTTGATGAGATTTTTATTGTGGGGAATAAATGACCCCCTGTAGTTTCACCGTCCCCTCCATTGTTTTGTCTGTGGATGGACAGGCAGGTTGTAAAACCCCACCGTTGTGGACAAGAGAGCCCTCGTGCAGCCTGCTCTGAAATATTGATCATGCTTTTTAATTTGTTTCGCTTTGAGAGATTCTATGACTCACACCTTCCTCCTTACACCCTCTGTAATCTCCCACTTCCACTCGTTACTGCTTTCCACTCTCCTGCTTCTCCCCTGACGCCACTCAAAAGCCCCTCCCCCCACTTTGATGTTTGTTCTGCAGATATTTTGAGCAGCTTTAAATCTCTTATGTAGATGTACAGTGGCGCTCTTAATCCTAAATTTTAAAGTGGCATCAGAGCCACTTTGCAGAGATGAAAACCACTGTTAGAGCTCTAATGATCCAGAGCTTCAGTAAAACCTGACATGAGAAAAGTCCTCTTTAGTTTTTGCTTCCCTGTGACGCTTTCATTAAACTGTTGTGGACGTCCCATTATTGCTTTGCAAATACCTTTTTTCATTTAATGTTTATTGAAGTGAGAAAACAATAATCTGACCACTAAAAGGCTTTGTGTTAAACAGGCTTGTACTTACATGGTTTATTCAAACCATCTTCTAGGAAATGAACCAAATACTAAAGTTTTTTTTGTTTTGTTTTTTTTATTTTTTTTTATCTCCGTTACCCACCAATAACCAGCACTATGAACTTTTAAATTATAAAATGTATTTTTTCTCTAAAATAATATACCTTGTCGTCCACACATTGATATCTTTGGTAAAGATGCTTAAAAATACTAAAGATAAATTCAGTCTATCACCGATCGAGTTCTATGCAAATAATAATCTGAATGTAAGCTTCATCTTTTGCTCTGCCACATTCTGAGCAGTGTCCAAACTTTTCTTCTTTGTTTCCCCGCTACTGCAGGGAAACAAACATCAGGAACAAAAAGCACATGAAGTAAGTTTAGAAAAGCCAAATATTTTTGTGAACTTTGAGCAATTTCTTTTGATTGATGAGGACTTGGCTTCACTGTGTATTCCTTCTGTACTTTCTCCAGGCTCTGGTGACACAGATGTCATCCCCGGTGGTGACAAACCCCGCCGCGCTGACGGCTGAGGAGTACTTCAACCCCAGTTCGACGCAGCAGACGCTGAGGGACATCGGCCACCCGTGCCAGCTCACCACCAAAACCCAGAGGTGAGCCAGACTGACAGGAACACAAACAGGCGGGCCGCGCCGCTCTCTGCAAAGTGCCAGAGCTGACAGTATGATGGCCGGTATAAAACGAGCCGCTCGTAGCAGCTGACCACAACAATCCTGGATGACAGATAACAGAGGGAACCAGAGACGCATATTCATAGATACCGTGGTGTTGGCGCTTCGCAGAGCTGGTGCAGTCAGGCATCGAGGCGCTCCGTCTCCAGCAGGTTGAGATGGATGACTCATAGCACCTTGTTGTCACTCCACTATATTAAAAACACAAAATAAAACATGAAGTGGAGGAATATTGCAGTATCTCCAAAGGGTTGGGGGGAATCATAAGAAAAATGTGCAAACAGGAAAGAATAAAATAGAAGCAGCTTTGTGAACAGTTTTCCTGCATCTGCTGGGCTGTTGGTTCTCTTCTGATGTCATTTACATTCCTCATCGCTGCTAAATAAAAAGTGACAGGACATGATGAGATTAATTCTTGGAGGAGGCAGAGCTGCCTCTCAGTTCTGTGTTCATTATTGCACAAATTAGAGTCTAACAATTGATTGGCCTGGCTTTGAACATGACTCAGCAGCTTGTGGACAGCCTCTGTTAGTGGATGTGATCAATGTCTTTTTGTATTTCTGCCCAAACAACGGCTGATCCCAACATCTAAATTGCTTTAATTATGCACAAGTCAGACTCGGATGGTTTCCTCTGTTTCTGTTCGCCAGGAGTGTCAGTGTAAGCAGGTGTGTGTTGCTGTGTTTTAGGTTTAAAGCCAAGTTGTGGCTGTGCGAGACCCATCCTCTGTCCCTGGCGGAGCAAGTGGTGCCTATTATCGATCTCATGGCCATCTCCAACGCTCTGTTCGCCAAGCTGCGTGACTTCATCACTCTGCGGCTGCCGCCTGGTTTTCCGGTCAAGATTGGTGAGCGCAGAACAAGTTAGACTGGTGAACGAATGAACCAGAGGAGGGAGGGGTGTTAAAATGTTGGTTGCTTAAACTGAGCGGAGGAGAGAGGGCGATGAATATTTCATGAATAGATGAGATGGAATGGACAAAATGATCTGAGAGAGGGAGCTGACGGATAAAATGTTCTCCCCCCTGCAGAAATCCCCTTGTACCACATACTAAACGCCAGGATCACCTTCAGCAACCTAAATGGCTGTGAGGAGGGGGCCGGCCTCCGTCCAGACAACGAAACCGGGCTGGAAGGGGACGGCCAGAGGGACGCCCCGAGGACAGACACTCCGTCTCCAGGCAGCGACTCCTCCAGCGTCTCCAGCTCTAGTTCCACTAGTAAATATCAAAGTCTTAACCACTGATATTGTCACTATTCAAAATATTTACGTGTCATAAACATCAAGGGATTTTTATTTATCTTAGACCACCACACTGTTTTTTATCAATAAAAATCTGAAAAGTGTGGCATCCTCATTTTTTTTTTTTTTTGCAAAATAGCTCAAGCTTAGTTGGAGTTAACATTCTGCAGCCTCTGAGATTTTCCTCCAGTCTTTGCCTGTTTCAGCTCCAACTAGCTTTCTTATCAGCTTCCCTCAGTACGATTCTGCTCAAGCCATGTGTCACCCCTCCAAATGGTGTGTTCAGGGTGATGTGCAGTGTTAGCTTAAACAACACAAAAAACTGTGTTGCAGTTAGACCTAAACAACTCCTTTTCTTTCATATTTGCCTCATTTACCACAGGGCTTGTGGTAAACGATTAGATGGCCTTCTAATGGCTTTCTTTGTCAGATTTTATGGAGTGCACCATTAGTGAGTTGTCATCTCTGCTGCTCCTCCAGAGTAACTGTAGTTGATTCCGTCAGTTAATTTTCTCCTTGCCCGTCAACTTAGCTGGTAGCAGCAGAGGCTTCCTTAGCAGGTTTGCAGTTTTGTCCATTTCTTTTTTCAGATGATAGATCAAACAGTTCTCTATGTGACATTCAAAGCTTGCAATGTTGTTTTATAACCTAACCCTGTTATAAATTTGATCAAGAGTTAATCTCTGACCCGTGTTTTGTGTTTGACAGGACAGTTGGATTTATGGAAAATTACAGAAAGATGAACTGTGTTTTTTTATGATAACAATAAGGAGTTTATTTAGATAACATTTCTATCTAAATAAAACTGGGCCAATTTTAAGAGCTGCTATTTATTTTCATCTTGTTGCTGTTTTTTTTCTGGAGGGCCATGGGAAGAGGTTCATCGTGTGCTGTTTTGTTAGGTCATGTGACAATTGTAGTGATGCAGTGCAGGATTGTGGGGAGTTGAACTGAGGCGGAGAAGAATTGGTGAAATTTGCCCGACTTTGTGTTTCTCAATCATATAAAATCCCAGTAAAATACAGTAAGATCTCCGAGTAATAAACTCAGAAAAAATGTAAGGCTATGAATACTTTTGCAAAAATTAACGATCGAGTCTTTCATCTCTCCTGTGTTCTCCTCTGGAGCCTCCTGGACTGGAGCTATTTGCAGGATGAAATGTAACTGATGAGGAAGATGTGAGCTCTTTTTACCACTAGATTTTACTGGACAGATTTGTGCTTTGTATTGCTGGATCATGTCCTGCGTTTATTTAATCAGAACCTCATCGGCACTGTGTAAATCTGCATTTGTGCCGGGCAGCAGAATAATTAATTTGACGGCAGCTCTTTGAGAATCCCCGATGTTATCATCTCATTCGGCTCCTCATATGAAAGCACTTGTCCTGTGATGTGCCAGAAGTACGGTACATGAAAGAGAAAACAAATACTCCAACCTTTATTAACTTTTGATCTCTCCATGTTTGGCTTAGGAATATTTTCCTCTGTCTTTTCCTTTCCCGTTCTTCTCCTTCAGTGTCCTTTAAAGTCAGATAACATTCCCGCTCATGCCTTGACCTCTGCCCCCTTCCCTCACTCCCCTCTTGTGGAACAGTGTCGTGCCGAGCAGGAGAGATTCCCCCGTGTGTGTTTGAGCCTCCGCCTGGATACACCATGCTAGGAGGCAAACAGAGAGACAGCATGAGGGAGGAGGAAGAAGACTTACTGCAGTTTGCTATACAGCAGAGTCTGCTGGAGGCCGGATCCGAATATGATCAGGTGATCCCGCTGTGAATTCCTTGAGCTTTCTGGCGGTAACGCTGGAAGGAATACGTCTTTAGCTGTCCCATATTACATTCTTCTATATCAAATTTAGTGCTTGCACAGGTTTTTGCTAAATGGAAATGTGCTGATGCATTGCTTCTTCTGTAAATTTAAAAGATGTAAATTTAGCAGTGAATTTTAGCAGTATCATTTAATTTTTACCAGTATTTCTGTAAATTTAGCAGTTTCACTGCTGTTGTGGAGTTTATCTATTTTAGCTACATGATATGATGTTTCACCTAAATGTCTTGTCATTTACTGCTAAAAGTATGAGCTACAGTATATACTTCTGTAACTGCAGTTCACTTAGCCTTCTGTAAAAACAATAAAATAAAATAAAAAACTAATGGAACTTTGCAGACAACACTGTGGAAGTGGAGCCACTTCAGATCCAGCCCATAAAAATCCAGACTTTAAACAATTATAGTCATCCTTGATTCTTTTTTAAATTTTTGCTTACCTCTAACTCTGTCCACTTACTCACCATCACTTTAAGAACTACAAATCTTTCCACTTTGTCTCTATCACAGGCTTATAAAATGTAAAAGTGGCACAACTTGATGTACTTTTGTTGTTCAAAGCTAAGGGAGGGCATGACAATTAGATAAATACTGTTGTTGCCATGTTAAAAGAAAGTAGCAGCAACAGCAAGAAAATATATCATAGAATTAAAGTGTCAGACCAAAGAAATGTTTTTTCTTTGCATGAGCAAATTATCCCTTTCAAAAAACATGGTCAACATTATATTCAAAAACTATGCAGTGTCACACATTACTTGTTTGATGTTTAAAGGTGGAAGTCAATTCTCAGTAGTAAGCAAAATAGCGCACCCTGATGGTCATGTTTTCAGAACATTGGTTTGCTGCCTCCATGGAGTTAGAAAACTGACTTCTGCAGCCCTTACATTTATGAATTTTAATTTGTGTGTAATAAATCGATATAATATGAGTTTCACTTTTTAATATGTCAACATATATGCAAACATAGATCAACCTAATGTATTTGAGTCATTGAAACAATGTTCATATGTAACTTTAAACCGCTAAATAATCACTTGGCGTACAAAGTTATTTGAAATGTAAAATATGACACTCATGTTTGTGAGACTCATTCATCCACATAACAAGCTGAATTTTAGATAAACAAAACCAACTTTTCACTAAAACTATTTGACAGAAAGAGGGATGGGAGATTCTCCACTTTTTCACAGAAACTGAAATTTTAGAGCAGCTTGAAATTGAATTTTTAAAATTGTGTCACTCATGGGGGCAACATATTGGAGAAGCTGTGTAACATCAGGATTTGATCTTTTGTAAGCTTTTTCTCATCAGCTTGGACTATTATTTCCTCTGAAATAAATAGGATTGGTGTAATGTTTAACTAGGTGGGTTTAAAAATAATAATAATAATCTTATTCCCAGAACCCATAGAAACTGATTGGCATTCGAAATGTTCAAATAATACCTTAAATACAAATAGCCAAATCCCAGTAAAGTTGAGATTGAGAATTCACAGATTAAATTGAATTTGAAGAACTGAATGCTAGGGTTACTTTTAAGTTATGGTCACTTTATCTGTTTTTTATTGAATCTGTGTCAGCCTCACATGACACCAACATCAATTATATTTAAAAATACAATCTCTGCTGTATGTTTGGAAAACATAACCTGGTTGAAGTATTGTATGTATCTGCAGAGTGATAGCACATAATCAGTCGTGACAGACATTGTTTCCCCATCTAAAAATTACAGGAATAAATTCAACAATAAGTCAATGAACACCCTAATATTTATGTGTGCTTGAGTACACAAACAGCAGTCGGTTTGAAAATACAAACAATCGCAGTGAAGTGAAATCAATAAGCAACATAAATTGCCTGTGCGGTATGGAACCAAGAGGCTTTACATTTCCAGCTGCCTAAGGATAGGCCTGTGCTTAAATCCAGAAGATCCTGCTCCTGATAGTCGCCGGTTTTCTTCTGGGGTGCCGGGATATAAATAGTCTCAGGGAGGCAGGTCAGAGAACGTCCTCTGATGTGTTTCTTTAGGTGAGAAGCAAAGCTGAGGGGACGTTTGAACAGCGGAGGTTTGGTGCCATGCTTTCAGAGACTTCACAGTTCCTGTTCACAAAAATGATCAGTCTTTTAATAACAGCTGGAATATTAAAACGGGATGATACTTACATCTTTTATGTAGAATTTGTGTATATTTTTCTACACTTGGAAACTGAGTTTGAGACCGCAGTGCTTCCTGTAAGATGAACTCATGGAGTTATTTTGATTTGCAGCAACAAAGTTTGTTTTTAACTAAGGGTTAAATTTGCCACAACCTGTGGTTCATTAATAGTGTGTGTACCAAAGAACTAGAGGCAGTACTGATCCAGTTTACTCTCAGTTTATGAGTCAAAATCAAGCCAGCTGGCTGCCTTTATGCTTTGTGTGTGTGTGTGTGTGTGTGTGTGTGTGTGTGCGTGTGAGTGTGTGTGTGTGTGGGGGGGGGGGGGGGGGGGGGGGGGGGTGGGGGGTGTGTGTGTGTGTGTGTGTGTGTGTGTGTGTGTGGGTGTGTGTATGTGTGTGTGTGTGTGGGGGGGGGGGGGGGGGGGCGGGTGTATGTGTGTGTGGGGTGTGTGTGTACATATATTGTGTGTGCATGCTGCTTTAGTGGGGATTGATTGGAAAAATGCCTACAGGAAGAATTAACCCTTTCCAGAAATCCCTCCATCGCTTTGTCCACATCATCCGGTCTCTGACTTTCTGTTCTGCCTCCTCTTTGTTACTAGGTGACTATCTGGGAAGCGCTGACCAATAGCAAGCCAGGAGCACACCCCCTGTCCTGTGACCCAAGTCGTGTAGAAAGGTAAGAAAAAAAGATTTGCTTTCATTTCTTAAAAACTGCAGTATAACTTTTATAAGCAATATTAATTTTCTGTTTTTGTTGAAACCGTCACTATGTTCTGACAGTATGACATGAGACAAATCAAGCTCCTCGGCTTCATCCCTGTGGTTCTACTGTCATCAGTCCCAGTCAAAAGCAAACATTAAGAGCTAGGAGCAGGGTCTTAGTGCTGTCAATCAAGCTTGTGTACATGTCGGACACAGCCTCCTCCTTGCACTGCTTGGTTGTTTCTGACAGAGATGATGTTTATTTCTACAGATGGCAGTAGGACCACACAGAGGAAGAGGAAGTCAAAAATTTCCATAACCTTTAATTTTATTAATAGTGTTTAAACTTGTGGCTCTATATTTAGTATTAAGAGATTAGCCTTCATCGCCAACTTGAGCTCAGAAATCAAACATTTACTGACAAATTTATCAAGAAAACAGGATGAAATTAGGAGAAATATTCATTAGTTTGGATACATGAAAAACTGGCACCATACCATATTATTTAACAGCGATCTTTGGCAAGTCCTGTTTCCCTGTACACAAAAATTGTGTATGACCACTTTTAAAAGGAAGAGACTCAAAGAACTAAAATTTGCAAAAATGGGAAGTGGTTCTGCTGGAACCAGAAAGGATGTTTAACATAAGGCTTAAAAGAGGAGAGAGAGAGTAGAAACAGCTAAGCGAGACAGACCTGAACCCACGACCAAAATTACTGTAAAGATGGAAAGCATGGAGCTGAGCAGAGAGCAACTTTTTACTTACTGAAACAGTGAGGGCAAGGTTGGGTAAAGGATAATGGTTTGTTGAAAACTTAGGTCGTTGGAAAAAAATGCACATCTTTCTTCATATCATTTTGACATTATCATCATTGCTGTTTAAATGCCCTACGTATTATTTCACAGCGCTTCACCTGTATATGGGTTGCTCTGTGTGTTTTAGAGAGGCGTGGCACCAGAGACTCATTTGTAAAAACAACCAACAGGCTGTTGTTATTTACTTCGATCTGATATTTTCAATGTGTTTCGGTTTCTCAGATATGATCAAATTCAACACCATCAACATCTATGTCTTTCAGCGATCCCTCTCATAATGGCAGAAGTCAAATCAAAGCCTGGGTGAAAAATAAAAAAATGAACAGGACAGAAGCTTTCATCTTCAAAACAGCTGAAATCCTTCAACAAAAACAATGTAAATCTCCACGTCTGTCAGCATGAAGGCGAAATATCCTGCCGTACCCCCGCATCTCACATCCTCTCCTCTGTCGCGTTTTGTTTTTCCTCACTATCTTCCGAGGCACCATTGTGTGTTTTCCTCCCTACTGCAGCTCCTTCCTTCCATCTTTGGCTCACATCCTGTATTCTGCTGCTCTCCTCCCCTTTTCTATTATCTTATCCATCCTGCTATTCTTCTCTCATCTCCTATCGGCAGAGCGCTGCTGGGAGAGTGTGTTTGGGAGAGAGGGATGAGGGTTTCCTGCAGTTGACTTTAGTTTGTTGTCCTTATCAGTCGTTCCTGTGTGGAGCTGGATGCGCAGGCTGCTGTGCTTTCACTCTCACCTCTTCCTCTGGCTTGTGTTTAATAGTCTAGCTTTTGGAATGAATCAGATTTTAGATTCTGATGATACTGAAATTGGCGTCATCACCTGTTCTTTGAAGAAACACAATTTTGAACTGAATGTAAACACAGGGCCTTAGACAACCTCTTCATATTCTGCCCACTTGAGGATATATCAAAGTTTGGCACTGAACATTTGATCCACTATTATATCATCATCATTATGGCTAGCTGAGCAATATTGAATTATAATATCAAATAGTGATTAAGTGAACCAGGCACATAGTCTATGCAAACATTGCAATAATCTTTTTAGGATAATTGACATTATTTTACTTTCCAATGGATGATCAGACATCAGTTTCATAGTTTTCCGCAACATTTCATAAAAGGTTAACGGCAAAAATCTGTCAATTAAAATGTAAAATTGTGATGAATCAAATCATTTACAGGCATCTACTGAATTTAAATATTAGCCATGAACTAAACAAACCAGGCAAACTATGAAAAACAATTATAACGTAGCCTGAAGGAAGGCTCAGCAATGTGAAGGATATTATTGGTTTGGTGGCATTTGAGATTTTGTCAGATTTCTGTGAAACCACATATAGAAAAATCCTGATTTTGATTTCTTTCATCCAGTTTCAGACCAACAGAATAACATTTTCACATCCCATTCCCAGACTAAAACGTAAGACAGCCAATCACAAAGGTTGTGATGCTGATATATCTGTCGTATTCTTGGGTTTCTTCTTCTGATGAGTTGTTAAGGGATCTGGTTTTTAAAAGTCCTCCTGACTTCCTGTAGCTTGTTGGCTCTTGTTGAGTTGTTGCATCAAAAAAAAAAAAAAAAGTCTATTGCGCTTTGATCAAAATATGTCCCCATATTTTGCTCCCTCCATGTTGCCCAGGACGCCTCAGCACAAGCCCCGCCCTGCTGCCAGCCTCTGCTCCACCCCCTCCAAAAAGGGGGTGCAGCCGCCCAGCTGCACCTATGACGAGCAGCTGCGCATCGCCATGGAGATCTCGGCCCGGGAACAGGAGGAGGCGGACCTCCGGCGGCGGCAGGAGGAAGAGGAGCTTCAGCGAATCATCCAGCTGTCCCTGATGGAGAAGTGAGAGCCTCGTTGGCGGCGGCGATGGTGGGGAATGGTCTGAACTGAGGACATGTTGGGATAAGAGGGAAGAAACGACCACCTGGGAAACTTTAAGCACATTCTAACTGCCTGAATCATCTTAATGAAACAATGAAGTGCTTCTCTGTCCTCCCTTCGCCTTCGTCAGACCTTTCCCCTGAAGCCGCTCAGTGATGAAGATGGCAGCTGGAGAGGGACACTTTTTTTCCTCTCAGCGGCACCACATGGTACCTTGTTGAGCAGGGCCAGTTTACAACCAACAATACCAGTTTTCTTTGCAGCAGGGTCATCAGTGCTCCCTCTGTAGTGTTTCTGCTCCAGCATTACCAATACACACACACACAGAGACACACACACACACACACACACCTTGAGCCTTTCTGCCACTGAACCATTTGATTTTCAGTCTTAAAATGGAAAAAAAATTGACAAGTGAGGCTTGTGTTGTTAGAAGTGAGATGAATGTCAACAAACCAGGAGAAAGTTGTCAAGTTTCCAAATATTCAAAAATAACATGCAGGTACGTTTATTTACTTGCTTTTAATTTCCATGAAGTCAACACGTACTGTACTGAGCTTTGCTGGTGGATCACATATAAGACTGTTAGTGGTGGTTTTTTGATGAGTTTGAGCACAAAGCAAAGTCGGGCCAGTTTAGGTTTTAGACGCAGGACGTGGCTGCAGGAGGCGCAGCAGCTCCACTGTATGAGAATGACTGTGCTGAAACTAATAAAGGACTAATGTTATTGTTCTGTAAGCTGTCTGTGGACTAGATATGTTATTGGAAGAAATTTATACTCACAAGAACCGATTATTTTTTTCTTTTCTGTGTTTCTCTTCGCTCACTGGTATAAACTGATATAAACAATATTTCAGCATGATGTGCGTCCATGAGAGGGTTTCCTTGTTGTGCGACCTGAGCCTGTGTCGGAGCTCTGGACATGCGGTACGAGTGAGCTGACGTTAACATATTAATAATAATAAAAAATAATGAATGTTTGCAAATAATTGTAAGTAACTTGATGTTGCAAGGCTCAGGCCAATCCAAATGTTGTGAGGCACTAGCCAATCAAAATGCAAGGGAAAACAGAGAATTTTTTTAAAGATAATTTCTCTGAAACTAATGTTTACCACTACAATATCAGCACAAACTGAGATTTCCTCCTGTCTGTAATTATAGTAGATTTTCTTTGTGTTGAAAGGATTTAATTTAAGTTTTTTCTTTTGTTTTTACTTTGTAAAAACAGTCGTTGCTGAACACCAATGCATCGAAATGTTTTCAAGATGTACCCTGCAAAGTGGATTCTGATGATTCAAATAAAGAAACACCTTTTGGAACATGAGCCTGTGAGTGACTGTTTAAAACAAAACAAAACAAAAAAATCTCTCTGACTTCTAGGCAAGCTTTGAAATGCTCCAAATCCCTCCACCCTTCCCCAAGTTTTCCAGGTTTCTCTCAGTCAAAATGACGGTGATAAAAGCGCTTCATTTCTCACGAGACAGGCAAAGCAGCAGTCAGTCAGCAAAAGACGGAGCTGATCTGTTTTTAGCAGCTGCCGCCTCCATCATCTTCCCTGTGACACGGATTCCCGGCGCCTCAGCCGGATCCGAGGGGGGCTTTGACTGTAGTTATTTTAGGCTCGACTAGAAGAAGAAGAAAAAAAAGAGGAAAGCTTAGAGACTGTAAAAACCCTCCAAGAAGCACCACTCAGTGCAGGGAAAAGGCAACATGGAGTGGATCAGCAGTCATTTCTCCCCTCGCCCCACTTTGTGGATAACCTCAGCGTCGTGCTCACGCTGGGGTGTGAATTGAATTTGTAAAAAGCCACCAGGATAAAACAAGACGCCTGCCTGTGAAGTAGAAAAGCTGAGAGCATCAGCACACAGAGAAACGATGACAGTCTCATGCGCCGCCTCTTCCAATGACCTCAATCCTCCACGTTTTACTGACATTTTCCACATCCCTGAACGCGTTCAGTAATTTGCCATGTCAAGGAAGCCATGTTTCCATGTGTGCTTATAATGTTTGATGCAGATTAGGTCAGGCAATTTTTCCAGAGCCTAAGAATTATGACATCCAGAGAAAGGTAAAAGCTCTCAGGTCCTTTGCTTCTATTTGATTTCATTATGTATTATTTAAAAAGTAATACAATATCCTGGGAAAGGATATGATGTGTTTGTTATATCACTGGAGTGATCACAAAGCACTTCCTCTGAAACTGAGTCTTAAACTCCAAGGCTTCTCATCTAGAGCTTGTGGAAATATTGTCTTGCATTTAGTCACAAAGCTTTTCATGTGTTTTCTGTAATGAGTCAGCAGCACAGACTGAAAAGGAAAAGCTTCTGTGAGCATCGGTTTTCAACTCTTACCACACATTCTCAGTACAATTTGAATCTGAACTTCAATCCCAACATGAACATGCGTTCAACTCAGCCAAGTTTTTATTATGAACAGCTGGGCTGGGTATTTTTGCTTTATTTTATTGTTCTCATAGCAGAGAAGGCTGAATACAAATAAAGACCACTCAGATTTTTAGCTATAGTCAAATCAAAAAGACATGTAATTTTCTATCCACCTCACAATTCTGTTCTACTTTGGGTTGGTCACATATAATCAGAAAGAGAGAGAGAAAAAAGAAGTTTTACAGTCTTAACTTCACAAAAACAACATCTCAGTGATTAAAATACTTTTACTAGGCCTTTTTGTTGCTGCTCCACCAGAGTGGGTTATTATGCATAAAGACACTTTATCAGGACACTGACGCGCTACGTGTCTATTATGAAGATTATTGGGAAATATTAATGAACGTAAACATAATGACGCTATTTTATAAACTTGAAAACTAGAGTAACCCTAAATAAAAACTGTTTCATTTAGGGTTATATTTTGGTTTCCAGAGGGTGAACATAAATGTCAAACGTTTCAGAATAGAGAAAGGGGGTGGAGTGATTTCCTCTTGAAGACTTGGGAATTCTTCATTCATAAAGTTTAAGGAAGTATCAGACAAATGAAAAGCAGAGTTCAGATTATTTCACAATTGACAAACATTGTGATGAGAGAGATATAAATATTTAAAAAAAATATGGCGGACAGCACTCTTCCAGCTGAGGTGCAGTTAATTACACAAACATAAATCCTTGATTCATTTAATCAGACTTTTCCTATTTTTTCACCCAGAACTTTCAACAATCAAACCTTTGTAGAAAATGTCATAGTCCTTGCCACAGTTATCTGATTTTAATCACTTTTTAAATCTTTTAATGCGAGATTTGTTTTGCCAGAGTGTATCTCAGCAGTGCCCCCGGTGGCCTACTTCTGAGTGTTTAATTACCCACATGAAGCAGTGGGGGAAATGTCAGCCTGAAAAAAGCTGTGCTCATCAATTCCCAGTGGAAACCCTGGCTGTGTGTTCAAAGACATGGTTATCTGTGGGTAAAAATAACAAGCAGAGAAAATCAGCTCGGATGAAAGGTTGAACCGCCCAAGTTTTTGTTAAATGTCAAGAATCTAACAACGTTTTAACCTGTATTAACAGCAGTTTTACATTTTTCTAATGCTGTGTATTATCACCTTGACCAGCAGGGGGTGCTGATGCTCTGCATTCATATAATTTCTCTTTCTTTAGAAGTTATTGGAGATGAAAAATATACAAAATCATAACTTAAAAAAAAATTCTTTAAAAATGGTAAAGAATTTAAAAAAAGAGAGAAAACAAACATGTCAGCTTTGTCCTGGTTTAATTAAAAATCTGAGTAAAGACAAGTCCAAAACCACAGAGACAAGTCTACTGAGAACAGTGCAAAACAAGCTTTCCCAGCGTAAGAAACAAATAAAAGACACAAAAATCACCAATGTGGTAAAGTGCATGTTATGAAAAAAAGCCGCTCCGGTTGCAGTTTTATAAACTTTGACCTGGCAGCGAGGGTCTCACAAAGATAACAGACTCTCGTTTAAAAAAAACAGACATAAACCAACATAACCGAGTGCAAAGTCTGCACTGCTTCAGTTTTAGTTTGCACATTCATATAATATTACTTTGCTCCAGTTAAATCATCCAGTGGTTTTCATGCATCATCTCTGCCTCATACACCCCACACACACTCTTCATTCACACACACGTGCTCCAGGAGGTCACATGGTGTTGTAGAGCAGAGCGACGGCTCGTCTTCGCTCTGCGGACACTTTGCGGCGTCTAGACGAGTGTCCCTTCCCCTGCTGAGAGGACGGAGACGTGCCGCTGCTGAGTCCGTCTGTCTCCGTCCCCTCGCTGTCTCGAGAGGAGGACGAGTGGGACAGGGGCGAAGGCGAGTCAGCGGGGAACGGATTGAGAGAGAGAACTTTCTGCTTCTTCCAGGTGTCGTCTGAGTGGGACGAGTCCTGGCAGGATGACGGCGATGAGGACGAGGGTGGTGTCAGGTCCAGGTCGCAGAGGTCGTTAGCGGACAGCTCCAGGCAGTCCAGCTTGGCCAGAGATGCCGATCTCTTCATGAGGGACGGTGGCGTGAGGCCCGCCTGCCGCATGCGGGCCTCCAGCTCCATGGTCCTCTGCCAACTGGGCGGTGAGCCGAGACCCTGGCTCTCCGTTTTCTCTTTCCGCCGCTGTCTCGCTGCTTCAGAACCTTTGGGACATTCTGATTTGGTGATCACTGTGTCCGTTAGTCCATCCTGTCCCACTCCGTCCTGCAGGAACGCTTGCAGCTCTCGCAGTGTCCGCTGGATGCGCTCCAACTCCCGGCTGCTCCTGGTCAGTCTGCTCTGCACATCGCAGGCCGGTCCACACTGCCGTCCACAGCCGTCCTGAGGACAGCCATCCGTCTCAGTCTCCTCCACCGTCACTCCATCCAGGTTCAAAGCAGTTGGACGCCGTGTGCTTTGGCCTTGTGGCTGGCCCAGCCTGCTGGACCGGGCTGAGGTATGTAGAGATGATTGTAACTCATCAGTGGAAGTCAGTGATGATGTCAGCATGATGTCAGCAGGAACTCTGTTGATGTGGGAGTCAGGACAGCTGGTGGGCTCCTCTGGTTCTTTGGCCAAGTTCTCTTCCTGAGTGAGTGTGTGCTCCGCTAGATCCCGGGGGTCCAGCAGAGGAGGAAGCTCTGAAGTCAGGGAGCTCGGCGCTGGCCGGCCTGGAGGCGGCTCGGCGCCCGGCGAATGCAGTGGCAAACGCTGGGCGGCTGACTGATTCAGCTCCAGCCTCAGCTTCTGTTCCAGCTGCTCGGTGGCACGCCGAACCGACCCGGCCTGCCGGTCGCTCGGCAACCAGGATGGAGAGGACGGAGGCGAGGAGCTGAGCGGAGGCAGTGGGGGTTCAGGTACCGCCTGGTGGTCCTGCTGGACAGGCTGAGAGCTAAGAGAGGACGAAGGGGCTGATGATGATGACGATGTTGAGGAAGAAGGAGAAAAGGCTGAGTGTGATATGGCTTCAATCTCAATGACAATGTGGCGGACTGATATTCCGTTGTCATGGTGATAGAGACGGGTTTGGTCAGAGCCGTCCTCGGACTGCAGAGACAGAAAGAGACGAAGAGAAGAAAATGTTACACGTCACACTTTTCTCCCAGTTAAATTTATCTTCAGTTCCCCTTTTCTCTGATACTCCCAAATGAAATCTAGTGACAAAACTGAAGTCAGCTCAGTAAACTGTGTGTGACTTAGAAGTCCCACCATTTGGTTCGTCTAAAAACCTCGGTCTTGTTTTGGCAGACGTGAACTCTGGCGCAGTTCAAATGCAAACGAACCGCTGCAGGAAGTGAACTATAGGGCAAGACAGTAATCCAGCACCAGTGGAATGGATAACAAATAAAAAAAGTCAATGTTTCATGACAAAATGTGATGAAGTTCAACTCTTCTAAATACTTTTGAAAGATATGGTAATAAACACCTGATGTGATCCAGCTAAAAATAAATCAGATTTACAACCAACAACACGATTATGACTGTAATTTACTGACAGGTTAGTGCTGACTGTTCCTCTGCTTTCCAGCAGGTGTCGCTGTGCATAAATGCTGCCTCTTGAGGCTCCGACCGCTTCAGGCAGTCAGGATTGCAATTATGAAAAACAGAGCAATAAAAAGTCAACTGGAACAAACATCTGTGCCGAGGCTGCTGGGAAGCAGAGGGAACAGGAACGGGTACGGACTTTTCTCTGCTGCTGAGTCAGCATAAAATCCAAACGTAGAAATATCTCACACACACTAATGTATGATGTGCATGAGATATTTACAGTCACACACACACACCTCTTAATAAAATGGTTGATTCTCATCAACACAATTTGTATAAATAGGAACATTTTGTTTAAAGACAGAACGCTCCCCACCTGACTGCCGTCATCCTCCAGCTC